TGAAATATAGATCTCTATACTTTTTTCTGTTTGACTCTAAAAAAATGAAATTAAACGCTATTGGTAATTTTTGAAATTTTTTTTGGATTATTTTTTGAATTTTTTTGCTTGAAAATTCAACTATGAAATTAACAAAACAAACGAAATTAATTTGGATACTAAATTAGCCCAAAAACAACTTTTGAAATTTCTTTTTTCTTTTTTTTTTTTTTAGTATTTTTATGGATTGAAAACTCAATAAGAACGAGGAATGCAAAGAACACAAAGATAAAGGAAAACAAAAGACTCAATGAAAAAAGAAAGGAATATAACCTTTGTTTTTGGAGCCTAAACTCTGATACTAATTGGTGCGAAGCCATGTAGCGATTGAAGCTACGAATCCCTTACGAAATTTATTCAAATCCAAAAAGCCAAGAAATTAAAGTTTTGAGTTTAATCCACAAATATTGAACCAAACAACAGACAAATCACCGAGACGACAAATCACCGAGAATAGGTTGACCTCTTGATCACAAGATTTGAAAATCTCACCCAGAATGTTTGAACATCACAAGAAATAAATCTTGATATGTTAGGTAAATTAGTTCAATGGAGAACAGGAAGAAAGCAATTTGCATCTCAATTAAACATATGATAAAAGTTGTTTACAATGTAGAATAATGAATCCTCTATATAGTGAACCCATAAAACCCTAGTCTAGAAGAAAAGGAATCCTAAAAGATTACAAAAATTACCAAAAGAAGAGTTTTAACTTAATTAAAAGATTTTGCAAAAAATTGGAAAATCACGTCAAGTTTACTCCATACGGCCGCATAGAGTACTCTCAAATCCCCAGCTATTTTTCTGCACAGGTGTATGCGACCGCATGCATGAATCATGCGGTCGCATAGCTTAGTTTTCCAGCCTCTTCGTCTGTTGCTTGTATCACGTGGATCCAACTAGTTTTGACTCTCAAGCCCAACATGACACTTATTCCTTTACTCATCAAGATCGACATTTCATCGATTGTAGCTTGAACGAGCAAACTCATCACTTCTTTGACCCTCTTTGCTCGCGATCAAGTCGTTGGCCCTTCTTTAACAATCAATGGATCTTTACTTGGTGTTGTATTCATTGCCTTCTATGGACCACATCATCGGTGCTCGAGCGAAAGAAGCAGAATACATGTTGCCCGTCTAGCGCTAGACTGACACTCAAGCGACAAGTGCATTACTCACCTGTATTTAGACAAGCGCTTGAACAATAGTGTTACGAGACAGAATCTTGTTTGTTTTAAAACACGTGATGTCATCCATATTTCATTCCAAATGTTTTTCCCTATAAATATATAACTCCATGGATGTCCAAAGTGTGTTGAATCATCTCATTCCATAGAGATCGTTCCTTGAAGATCCTAGCCATCGATCTTTAGATTCAACCATCATATCATTGTGTTTATAATATCTTTCCAAGCCAAGATATTTCTTTGAACCATAAATTATTCCTCATTATCTACCTTCTCTTTTAAGCAACGTTGATGGGAACCTTGTTGGATATACATCTTATGAATTTTATTGTGTACCTTCTGAGATATGTCCATCTCAGTAATATTCCTTAAAATCTGACTAAGAATAAATATGAATACCAAGTGTTAAATCACCAATGTTTAAGGAACTTGAGCAATTAATGTGATACTTAAAGTGAACTACACTGGACAGTAGACTTAGCGTAAGTATGTATGTCAATCGGCTAAATAATATGATGAAATGATCAAGAGCAAGGACCACTGGAAAAGAGGCTTTCCATCCTTTCTTTAAATTATGGTAAAGACCTAGAGTCAGTGTGTAGGTCATCGGCAAAATAACTTTTTGGAAGCATGGGTCTCAAAATTATGGTAATCTGAAACAATAATTTTAATTTAAAAAAAAAAGGTAGATCAAGAAGTATTTTCCTCTTAATTGGATTCTACAGGAGTTATCGACTTCAACGTTTTGGTGTATTTGTCACTCTGATCATCAAAGTTGTAGTGGAGTACACTAGAAGGCTCGAGAGAGATAAATCCATGTTTGAGATCCATTTTTAAATTATAAATATATTTTTAAATAGTGATTTTTTGAAGAATGTGCGATTAAAATAAGTAAAAAAATTTGAATTTACATATAAAATTATTCTACATGAGAATATGTAGTTGAAAATGAATGTTTAATAAAATGGAGCCCAAACAGGTACTAAAGTTCTATACTTCTATCTTTGAGATAACTCGATAACCAGTGTGTTGTGTTGAAGTGCTACAAGTTGTGCTGATAGTGGTGATGGGGTGCCACAACCGTTTGATCTTCAAGCAAAAGATTCACATCTCAGCATTCTTAAAAAAAAAAAAAAAAATATATATATATATATATAATTTTTTCTAATTGATTTTGTTATAATTACTGGGCAAGCTATAAAAAATAAAAAAATAAGCCAGATTTTTGTGATGTATTGAGTAGTGTAGAGTCCCGAATTTTTAACATTTAATATTATATGATATACAATTAAGAATATATATATTACTTGTTAGTGCGGATAAGTCAAGTCCAAGTCAAAGTAGAAAAAGATTCTTATCTTAACTATAAACAAAGGGTAATTATATCAATACAACAATTTTTTATACATGCACCACATTTTAATTACAGACAATGTTATATGTACATAAATTTTTCATCTAATCTTTTACCTACCACTCACAATGGGGTGAAGACCACATTTGGAAATTTTTATATTCACGCGAATCCGTATGCATTGTGAGAGGTGAGGGGGGGGAACTTTCGATACATTCTATTCGGTACAAATAAAATTATTCTTTAATTACAAGAACGGTTTTCAAATTATTTGTTAGTGGGGTATAAGTTATGTCCAAGTTAAAGTAGAAAAAGATTCTTATCTTGACTATGAAAAAGGGTAATTATATTAACACAACAATTTTTTATATATGCACCAAATTTTAATTATAATAAAGGTTTTCAATTTTTGCATACTTTTGCTTTTATATCGTCAACTTTTTTCTCATTATATTGTTATTTTTAACCTTTATATAATTAACATGCTACATCTTTAATCACGATTTTTATCCAAATATTCTACTGACGTGTATTAAAAAGAGGGGCAAATATCTTGTTCAACTTTTGTATCAATTATTTATTTCGATATTTAAACATACGAGAGATAAATATGTCTTTTTGGTCCTCATAACAAACATCTTGAATGAAAATCGTCTATATAGACAAGATGTGAAAATCAATATAGGGTCAATGATTAAAAAAAAAAATTAAAGAAAAGTTGAGAACTTAAATGTGAAAATAAGAAAAGTTAATAATACTCATTGTAATTAAAATGTGTCTGTAACAAAAATTGTGGTGCGAATATATAATAAATTTAAAAAATATATATATTCCAAATATTCCTCCCTATTGGGGTTGCAACCTCAGTTTAGAAGTTAAAATTAAGAGTAATAATATTTCGTCTCGTTGCAACCTCAGTTTAGATGGCGTCAATGTAACACTAAATAATAAGTGGAATTAAATGACTTATTAATTTTACCTTTCAATTAGTCTATCATCTAACGTTGTTTAGATTGAGAATGCAAGCCCCATGGAGCTACATAGTATTGCTCTAGAATTAAATGTTATGTACATTGCGTTATTAATGTGCCTGCTACCAATTTCGTTGCCTAAAATATTTAAATTTTCTTGCTTATTGCTATTTTCATTGCCAATTAAATGTTTAGTTGGTTGACATACACGTTCACTGTAATAAGATCATTTCATGGCCATATAATTTAAAAATATTTGGATTTCTTAGTTAAATAAAAGAAAATCTGAAATGTGTTACATACTAATATCTACACCATGCATGTATGTTTTAAAATTGGTAGAATACATTATAATGTGTGGGATAAATAACTATAGTTTTATTCATTATCGTTGACAGTAATCTATTCTATGATAGTTAGTTAGTAATTTGATTTCCTTTTTGTCTTGTTTAAATTTTAATACATAATGGCATGTCAACTGGTAGCGATTCATATATTTGTTATAAAAATAGAAAATGTACTTGACTCTCAAAATTCAAAAGATCAATTTCTATTGTAACTTTATAAAATAGAAAATGTGATTGACTCTCAAAATTAAAAAGATCAAACTTATTCTCTGATCTTTAGCCCTTGTTTGAGCCTCATTTTTTTGGGAAGAATGAAATTTTGAATAGTGTATTGATGGAAAATGTATGGTTAAAAAATAAGAAAAAGTTTTGAATTTGCATGTAGTATTATTTTATTGAAAAATGGGTTGCTGAAATTATGTCAAAATACTGTTGAAAAATGTATTTTTCTAAAAGAATGGAGCTCAAACAAGCCCTAATAAGATTGAATTTAATAAATTATGAATCTCAATACAAATATTTCTTAAACTAAACAAATTATATTTAAAATAATTGATCGTTGACATATAAAAAAATACTAAATAGAAGTAAAGAGAAATTAATAAGTGTTTCTTTAAAAAGATAAAATCAAAATAGATAGTATAAAAATTTTAATCTCTAAATATAAAGGTGTTCTATTATACGCAACATACTTCTCATAAAATTAAGAATCTCTTGAAGATATTTTCAACGACTCTACCATGATGGTCAAATTAAACTACACTCAAGTTATGAAGCGCTATGAGATTTAGAAGAAAAATTAAAAATAACATTAAAAAATAAAACCCCAAAAAAATATATAAAAACGGTAATAATTGAATAAATAAAATGTGAATTTTTTTATAAAGCACAAGTATAATTCGCTTCGTAGTTTTTTCGTGAAGTATCAAAGCTATTAGCATGGAGTACTAAATCGAACAATATAATAAACAAAATTTCTTCTTTATTACTATCTTCAAAATTGCCATTAAAATTCTTCTTTATACAATAAACAAAATTTCTTCTCTCTATCCGTATCTATCATTATCTGTATCGACCAACTAACAAAACCCCAAATCCAATCATCCCAAAATTCACAAAATCTAGTTGAAATCTTAGATGTTAATGCTACGTCATCAGTATCGCCTAGCAAACACGTTAAAATTGAGACACATCTAAGCAACCAAGTAAAAATGGGTTTAATAACGTACACAAGGAGAAATACTTCGTTGAGAAGAGATTTTGATACATGTATAAATATCAATTTTGCATTCAACTGTACATAATTGTGGTTTCAACGATCCCTGAATTGGCAATTTTTGTAACCAAGTCCGTCTGGTCTACTTCAGCTGAATAGTAGGGCGCTATATTTGGCAGCTCTCAATTACTTGAACTGCTCATTTATTGCATAAAATGACAACTGGAGTCGATGGCAAGCAAACAGAGATAGTTGTCACTTTTATAACTGCATCCAAACCACCAAATCATGCAACTTCATGCCGTCAAATATGAGGGCTTCACCTTCTGTCTTCAGCTTTCAGTTTGCAGCAGATTCATTTTTCATGTGTTGCTCTACTATTGGGGGTAAGAGAAGAGCAAGTCTTGTTTTGTATCTAGCAATTCGCTGGAGCCTTTCTTCTCTTAGCCTGCAAAATAGGCACCAACATATTGCCTTAGGTTGGAATGGGAAGTAACTTAGAATAGGATATTTAAATTTTTTTAACTTGTTGAAAATTATGTGAAAAGTATTTCAAGACACGAGAGTCAATTACCGTGATCTAACCCTCTTAGCCCGCTTGACATGTCTTTGCAACAGGTCTTTTGTAGATATATCCTCAACAGACTCTACGTCCTGAAATAGAGTGAGGAAAATTACGCATCTCTTTAACGTACAGAATAGCAAATTGCAGTTAGATGTGCAAAGAAGAAAACAGTACAAAGGTAACTTAAAACTGTCATATTGCCACAAGATGTCCAGGTACTTTTCAAAGTATAAAAGATAACCATAATGCAACCAATATCGAAGAGAGCAATGTGATAAATGCAATAGCATAGTCAACCCACACAACGCAGCAAAACATACTGATGGGTGCAGCTACAGGAACTCCACTTGTTTCACTTATTCACATCTACCCTTTTTACAGAGCCATTGCCCGATGTACCCATTGAAAACCAATGATCTCCCAATATCTTGTCCAGTGAAGACCTAGCATTTACTAGCAGCATAATTTTAGAGCAGTAAAAACCAACATCAATCAGAAGATCGAACTTCGTCCAGAACCTGTTTCCATCTCCAGAAGCATTTCCCATCTCTCTGTGTCCTCTTTCCCAGTCTCCCTCATCTCCTCCCATTGACAGTTCGTTGGCGTCATCAACTTTGAATATTATGGTTAGCCTTTTCTCTCTGTTTCATTTTTCTTTTAGGGTTCCAAATATTGCAAAAATGGGTTCATGTCGGCTCCATGTTCAAATAAGAAAAAGAACGTGGCAACTGGTGTATTTGACATGTGTTCTATGTAACAACAGTCCAATGGCTAACAAGAAACATAGTTAAAACATCTTTATGTCCAACAAGACCCCATTAGAGTTGTCTCAATGAAGGTTGAATAAAAACTTTTACCATAAAAATCGAACCTAGTCAAGAACGTAGGGTCATTTGGGTCCCTTTCTATCAAAGTCTCAAAACTAGAGTCAAATTGAAAATTCTATCAAACATAATTAAATAATTCATCATGTGCAGTCTCCTAGCTAGGGTCAAATTGGACAAAGTTTGGATATGTTAAGCCCCGTTCTATATGTCCATTAGACTGCCAAGTTGCAATTTACTTAAAACAATAAAGAAAAAGACGTGCATCTTTGTCATGCAGTATAACTGTAAAATATAGACAAATCTGATTCAAGACATACAACATTTTTACAACTTTGGTTCTGAATCTTTTGATTACTAGTTGAACCAACCAGTGTACTGTATTTTTCATTCCAATTCCATTTTTAAGGTCATCCAACACCGTTGGTGACCCAAATGCCATCCAAGTGTATTAGGAATTATACGTTGTGTCATGTGCCATGATAGGAAATTTTAGAACTAGAACCAAAGTTTTAAATTCCTTTGCCATGTTCACATGGAGAACATATCTTATATATAAATGGATTCATCTAATGGTTGTTTTCATTTATATTACTCTCAACTCTTGACAGGATACAAAGATTTTGATGTCCTGCAAATGTCACGAGTTCATTCTCTCCACTGAAACTAAGGCCCTGTTTGAGCCTCATTATTTAAAAAATAAAAGAAAAAAGAGAAGGAAGAAAAAAAGAGCTCATTTTTCCTCAAACTCATATTCAACCACACATTCTTCCAATAAAATACTTTTATGCGTAAACTCAAAAACTTTTTTTACCTTTTAATCACACATTCTCAAAAAAATCATTACAAAAATGGGGCTCAACACACCCTAAATTTACAAACCTCTATTACTTAGCACAAAAATAAGAGAGCCAGAGATGCAAGATGCAAAGCACCCACTTGGAAGAAAACATTATATTCCTTTTAGACACCAACAATTTGAGATGTTATGGATATATAACATTTTATTCGTGGGAACATGATCTTTCATGTCAAATTGTTTTAAGCCATTTTAAATTTTCCTTTAAATGAAATCTTTTAAATTATACTGTGAGTTCGCTTTACCAATTGAGCATAAAATATTATCGAGGCAATAACCATAAAAATAGCAGTGGACAACTAGTCTAATGACTCACATTATAAATTTAAAATAATGGTCTCAAAAGACATTCTGTTTACTTGCATGATATTATGCCCCCGTTTGGCCCCCATTAAATTCTATTCCATTATATTTCATTTTCTCTCGATTATTTTCAACCACACAATTTTCTATAAAATAATATTACACTTAAATCGAAAACTTTTCTTTCTTTTTCAACCATTTATTTTTCAAAAAAACACTATTCCACCCATTTTCATTTTCATAAAATGGGGGGCCAAACAGGAGCTATATTATTATGTATATAAACGGCTTTCTCTTGGTATGCACATGGATAAAATTAAAGAGTTGATATTATGACTTAAAACTCAGAAATCGACCACAGGTTCAAAAACCAGAATACCATGAACCTAAATTACTAGTACTAGCCATATAGAATTTGTTTCACAAAAATTAATGGTTTCTATTTTATGTAACAGAACTTTAACAAGTTTCAGAAAAAGAGTGAATGATTCCGAAGACAATGATATTGATTTCTAATACGAACCTTTTCTTCCTCTTCTTCATCACCTTCCTTCCTCCCAGGAGAATCTGAATGTTGTGCAGCTACTGGCAGAGGTCTGGGAAGACACTTCATGACATCTTGGTACTGAGGCTGCAAAAGAATTGCAAATATGAATCAAAATATTAATCGAAAAGCAAAAAATCACTCCATAAACGAGAGAGAAATACTCCTTTACACTAGTAGAATGTTTCTCACAAATATGTATGCAATTACACAAGTGCAAGCGCAAACAGAAGAGATGAGAACATTATTGAAAGATTCAAAACTGTAGCTGAAAGAGAGTATGCGAATGTCAATATCCATGGCCCATGAGTAATTGTTGGAAACAAAGTTAGATTGACTTCAACTTGGAGCAAAAAAAACAAATCCTACTATCCTAGAAACATGGTCCGGTTATCTATTTATTTAAGAACACCTTAGCCCAATTATTTAGGCCCAAGCCCATAAGCCAATTCACAAATTACCCTTGAAATTTATTTTTTTTATGAAATAGGGCAGTAAGCATGGAGGGGGACTGTCCCACCCTGCCTTAAGTGGGGATTAGGACAGGAAAATCCCTAGCAGGGAACATGGCACCTCGCCCCATTGCCATCCATATCTCGCCTCGTAAACATATTTGTAGCACAGAGGTAGAGGTGAGGGTGAGGTGTTGGCACAGCAACGGCAATTGCAGGTTTATGATTAGAATTTTCTTGAACTTGAATACTTATCGAAACTTCAAGAAACCTATACAATAAAACCCTTATTACGTTTCCTACAATATTTAAACTTGAAAGTCTTCCATATATTATCTCTACTAGGATTCCCATCACAATGACAGTAGCACGATGTGGAATGAGATGGCCAACATGAAGTGTACTCAAGTGTATGAACAGGGATAAATGATAATGTTAGAGTTACTATAGAGAATCGTGTTATCAAAAAGAGTGATTATTTTAGGTTTTTAGGTTCGATTACTGAAAGGAAGGTGGAGTTTTGAAGAAGATATTATGCACAGATTTTGCAAAACATCAAGGGCATAGAATACAAGAACCCAGACACTGTAGGGTTGATTTTCCTATAACAGAGAATTCCTAACATTTGGATGAATAATTAAGATTTTGAACGGTCTTCAACAGATAGATCTCACATAACCATAGCTTTCAGTAGAAATTCAGTAACTGAGGCGTGAGCAAAAGGTGCATTTCTTACGATTCCATTCAATTACAGTGATCGATATGATGTAAAGCACAAAGCTTATCTGATTTCATTCTGTTCAACATTTCTGAACCTTAGGCTTATTGTACATGACAACTATTATAAAGAGTCTGTACGAAAGCAGTAAAAAGCATCATGTATGCATAATAAGAGAAGTGCTTTCAAGAGTCAAACCTGAGTTTCTTCTGGAAAACCATTTCTCAACCATGACCGGCAAAGGGTATAAATAGAAGCATTTTCAGATATTCTAACCTGCAACACGAAACAACCGTATATTAAGAATTATATACAAATAAAGTTGAGAATAAAATTCATAGTGTAAATTTGGCCAAGTGGCATAAATTTGAAATGTGTATCAAAATATAAAAATAATGTATTCAGATAAAAAAACGAGAAATATTTTAGTATGTTAAATGTAGATGAGTTATCCTGATAACATGAATACTTATGAGAGGATCCTTGTGCATCGTGTGATGGTTAATAACCAAATTCAAATAGAAATGAGATCTTTTGAGTAAATCGATGCAAAATTTAACATAATGATGAAAGATTAGCTCAAATCACAGACTCTGTATTGAGAGAGATTTTGAAAGAGACCAACAATCCAACGATATTCCATGATCAAGGGTTTACACACATACATATGTTAAATAGAATTTATCGGGATACTTAAGAGAGGATCCTTGTACATGGTGTGATGGTTAATTACCAAATTCCAATAGAAATGAAATCTTCCAAGTAAATCGATGCAAAATTTAACATAATGATGAAAGATTAGTTCACATCACAGAATTTGTATTGAGAGAGATATTGAAAGAGATCAACAATCCATCGATATTCCATGATCAAGGGTTTACACGCATGCATATGTTCAATAGAAAAAAATCTCTATTTGAAAAGGGCATCTTACTTATATATGTATTCACTTGCACACATTCATGCTGATGCAGAGCATATAATGACACATGGCATATTTGTTGGAGGATTATTTGTTTACCATTTATTTCTCGTTTCATCTATTATTTTCTTTATTTGCATTTATGTAAGGACTCTAAACTGTGTTCTTTAGCTATTTTTTAGTAAGCCCCGAAACTGAATGAGAAAAAGGACATTCTAAATTCCCAAAAATCATCTCTGCTATTCTTCTTTTTGCTGGGTCTTTTGCTGCAGGTTTGGTTTGAAGAATCCACTCCAGGAATGGATATATTTTTCCCTTTCTTCTTTGCACTTCTACGACATATGGTATCAAAGTTAGAGGTCCAATGTTTGAGTCAATGCTAGAGCATTTCCTTTTATTGGGTGTATAATGCAAGAACATGCTTGAAACGGAGGGTGGGCCCATAATCGCTATTTGGGAATGGCCCATTGGCGCCTTCCAAAGGGGTCCTTCAAAATAAGGCCCAAATGGAGTGCGCTTGAGGTGTATTCCCAGGCCTGGTTTTAGGTGGTGAATTGCACCTGCCCATCAGCTATAGCTTTTGGACAAAATAGTTGCATCTCCCTGCATCACATATCTATGTATATGTATGGGTGTGGGTACATGTACATACAATGTCATGAGCATTTACCTTTCGATCTCCAATAACCGTAATAGTGTCATCCCTAGTTCTATCCCTGCAGAAAAACATAGAAAACTAAGAGATTTGTGCGGAACTAATATAGATAATTGGAACCTTCGTAAAAACACGAGATCAACCAGAAATTGTAAGAGAGACAAAGAAAGATGGTGTAAAACATTACCTCAAATCTTTGTAGCCGTTATTTTCAGAGATAGTAGTTGAAGGACCAACCTGCATGCCCCAAAAAATGAAACATGAAAAACAATAGCAGCAGTAGTGTTATTATATATTAACAAATTCCTGCAGGAAATGATGCTTCCTGACAAATTTTCAATTAAATAATTAAATGTGGACTTAAAATGCAATTTCCAGAAGTCTGAAATTTTAACATAAAAAGGGAAATTTTGAATCTTCAATATCTTACTTGTACACAGCACAAATGCATCCCCACTTATGTGCACAAGCATTGAAGCTCTTTGAGCTTCAATTGAACACATCAACAAAATATTCCCCCCCCCCCCCCCCCCCAAAAAAAAATAAAATAAAATAAAATAATAAATTAAAAATTAAAAATTCTACTAACTCCAGGTTTGAAGATTTGGTTAGCATTATGATTTACAATTAGAGTACTTCTATAATTTCTATGATTCACAGAAACAGTTAACCAATTGTCCTTTCAATTTTTCTGCCCGTATCAGCCTCTCTCACTGTCATTCTTCTCCCTCTTTATTTCAATTGCTCTCACTTAATTCAGGTGAGAGATTCATACAGATACTCTCAGCATTAGTGATTCATACGGATAATTTCAGCATTAGTCTTCTTTATGTAATTTCCTTCTATATCTTTCATATCCATCACCAGTTTTTGTGAATATGTACTAGCTTTTGACATTATGCTAATTGATTGCTATGATATTCAACCAGAAACAAATCATGGAAAAAATGAGAAGACCAACTAGTAATGAAACTTAAAATTCACATAGAGCGTGTTAGTGGTGGCTAATGCTAAAAAAATAAGGTCCAATTGTGTGGCTAATTTTTAAGCATAAGCCACTCCAAACATGCTCATAGTCCTCCCCTTTGATGCTTTTCTTTTCTTTTATGCTTCAAACTAATGCTATCCAAACCATGGCTTATCATCCAAAGATATATAAGCAAATCCAACTACATAGCTTAGAGCCCATGACAATTTACCGCCACAGCCAGAAAACTTGCTCTCAAGTCTCAAAACGTTAGTACAGTAACTCAGTTGACTCAATTGGTTGCTGTCAGGTGAATGTATTATTTCAACCTTTTTATGTTTCTTCTTCATTCATATATGCTAAAGGCATTCATCATCTACCACTTTACCTAGCTATTACAGTTCAAAATAAATTGTTGATAAAACCAGGTCATTATGCATACAAATATGTAACATAAGTCTAATTGTATGCATGAAATGCTCTTGAGAATTTCTAAAACCCAATGACTCCAGATTAATGAAAATATGAATACAATAATTAACACAATGCCATATGAAAAGAATTCAGATTATTAATTCTCTCTGGAGTATTGAATTTGTAATGTTTTGTTTCTGATTTCATTCACTTTTATATGTCAAATCACATTTCTTTGACAATGACAAGTAATAAAGATTTTATGTGTTACTTATTTTGAGCAATTATTGTACTATAGATATGTCAAAGAGCGAGTTCTAATCCGAGGCTTTTTCCAAATTTGAAGATATCCCAAGCATGGCACAGCTTATACCTAGTTCAGTAAGACAAAGCTACAGAATCGCATATATTAAAATTTTATTCAATAACAAGAATTAATACATAAAAATAGACGAACCTTCAGGTGGTTTGTAGTAGATACGGGAATTCCTTTTACCGCATCTGTCACGACCCCGCCAGTAGCAGCGGAACTGGGACCAGACCCAAGGAGCGCGTGCTGCAAGTGAGTTGGCCTAAAATATCCTGAACTACCATGACCTAGATCTGCAGCAGAGAACACCAAGGGTGGCCTCGAGGTGGGTCGGGCCGCAGGCATTGTGACGGGTCTCGGAAGGAAACCCCGGCTGGAGGAGGCGATGGGGTAAAGCAGCTGTGAGGGGTCTTGTGGGCGAGGAAGGAGGTCGGATTGCGTTGGCCGGGGAACTAATTGAGCGTAACTGGGGTTGGGATTGGAGGGCAATTGTCTTGATGGGGATGAATAAAAGGGGTGAGGTTGGAGGTTGGTTGTTGGGGTGAGCGTGTGGGGATTAGGGGGTCTGGGGTAAGATAACAGGTGTCTTGTTGTTGAGACAGCGGAAGTGGCGGTAGAGGCGGAGGCGGAGGCGGAGGCGGCAGTGGTGGTGGGAGGATTGTCAGGTGGTGGAGGTGTGGTGGAAAGCGCCATGGGGATGGCGGCGAATTGTGGCGCGAGTGTTGTTTTTAGGGGGATAATTTTTGATTTTTTGGGCCGGGGGTAAGGGCCTATGTTGTGGCCCGGGGGAACAAGAATTGATTTTTGAGTCAAACCATTCGGATCTGTACGACACTAGAGGTAGGTGCGGGTCAGATCAAGTCGAGTCGGGTCGATTCGATCCGGTTTTAAAGAGAACCGAATCGAACCAAAATTTTCAGGTATATAGCAAATGGAACCGTCGGGTTCAAATATAATTATGGAACCGTTCGGGATCGGTTCAGTTCGGTTCGGTTCTGTACTATAATTAAATTTTTTAACATTTATAACAACATTATATAAATACAACTAATGATACATTCAATGGTTTTGAAATGTCAGAGACTTATAGACTATCTTATTCAAATGATCGCTATGGTCAAAACTTCGATCGGCAGAGGTCACAACGTTTGCCGACAATTGTATAGGTTTTGGAATGTCAGCGAAGTGCGAGAGTCGAGACAGCGTTATGCACTTTAGTGTAGGTATTTTGGGTTATTTAGTGGATTGGATTTTATTTGGCGAAATAAACAATAAAATGGATAATTGGGCCAAAAATTAAAAAATTAGAAATGAAAAAATTATTGGGCCAAAAATTTGGATTTAGAAATTGTTAGTTTTTAAATTTTTTAGAAAAAATTAAAATTAAAATAATTTGATTTATTCAATATAAAAAAAATTAAAAAGATTCGATTTTTATTCGATTTTTCGGTTCTTGATCTATAACGAGAATCGAACCGTACCCGTCGGTTCTCAATTCAGATACCCGTTCGGATATTTAATTTGACAAGAATCGTTCGATTCGGTTCGGGAGATTTGCCCAATCCTAACAATAACTGTTTGATAATAACGTTATCTTTAATCCTACATCAAAATTTGAGATAAATTCTAGGGAAAATGAATTGGAATGGCCACCATTAAAACACATTTTGTTCAACTAACCTTTGACCAAAATTATAAAAATAAAAAGAGTTTTAATTATTTAAAAGTGTCAAAAGATTTCGTTATCCTTAACTTGTAAAACAAAAATGAAAAAAGGATTGAAATTTTTCTCTAAACTTGCTAGAAGTGTTTGGATGGCAAGAAAATATTTTAACTCCACAACCATTATGGTAAGTGATGGTCCTTTTTTTGTGAGCAAAATATATATATTATGTTTTGAAAAATTGTTTCCTTTTCACTTCAAAAATAAAATTTAACAATAACTCATTGGTTGAACCATTAACCCGATGACCTGGTGGTTTTTTCCAAGTCAATCATCGGGTTGGTTCTAATAACTATGCATTCATGTTCTAATATACACAACCTTCTCTTCCTTCAAATTCAAAAAATCTTTCTCTTTAAAATCATCTTCTTCTTAGAATTCCAAATCTTCTTTTTAAGTTTAAAGTCATATCTTCTCCGTAGATTATCTCCGATACACCCAAAGTTTTAACATTTTCTACAACTTAACAACTAGTCGAAAATAATTACTGAATCATTTATTCATTAAACACCTATTACACAAGAAAATTTTTAAAATAAATTTTATCGTTATATTTTTTTTAAAAAAATGGACAAAATATTTTTTAAAATTTCGATCTTATTTAAAATCCAATAATTAGATTTTGATAAAAAAAAAAAACGATGTAATATATCGATATTGGACTCATTTTAAAGCTTGTAATTAATAAGAACTACTCGACTTGAGAAAAAGTCGATTCGGATAAGTCTGCACCAAGATATTGCAATTTGAATAAATCGTAAAATATAACTTATCAACTTAATAAAAATGTGGAATGGAAATGACCTGGTGACACTGTTTCATTGATTTGCATAACGATATTGAAATCATTCTTAAAACATAAAACGACTTCGATATCGGTTCAACATCAAATACACTATGCTTAACTGTTTTGTATAACGATATTGTACTCCTTCCTGAAATACAAAAAACGATGTATATGTCATTTCGATATCGAACACACATTGTTTCACTGTTTAACAGGTTTAGGCGCATGCCGTGGAATAAGTAAACAACATTTATGTCGTTTCAATACAATTTTCAACGACAATGATATCAATCTCATTCAAATCGTAACTATAACGTCATACATATCGTTTCTGGAATTGTTACACTAGAACGTTATAATAACGATATTAAATCTAATTGAAATTTGGCGAGTTTAAAATCGTTCCAATTCAAATCACAAGTATAAAGCCATAAATAACGTTTCTTTTCATATAAAACGATAATTATATTTTCTAGCTAAAAATAACGATTCGACCGTCCACAACCACTCGTCATGCCTTCAACATACGTAGGACGATCGAAATAGATCATCAAGTGGGTTGATACCACTTGAATGACTTTAAAAGAGCGAGCGAATATACTTTCTGTCGGAATAGTTCGAATGTGATATACAATTATGAGAACAAAAATGTTCTCATAGTTTCTTTTGAACGAGATCGAACCCACTTGATTATCCATTTTGATCATCCTACATATGTCATATGCATGTCTGGTGGTCGTGGACAGTCGAATCGTTATTTTTAACAGAAATGATATAATTGTTGTTTTATTTTAACCAAAACGATATGTATGTAGTTTTAGCTCGGATTTAAGCTAAAATGATATCAACGTCGTCAAACTTGTATTAAAGTGAGATCGAACCCACTTGATGACCTATTTCAATTGTCCCACATATGTCAAATGCATGTCGAATGGTGGTGGACCGTCGAATTGCCGTTTTTAGCATAAACGATATACATATCTTTTTATATAAATTTAAACGACATATATTTGTTTTATTTATGATTTAAACTGAAACGATATCAATATCATCAAAATTGTGAATTAATAATGATATCATTATGCAAGAAATCAAGAAATAACATGACTGTGTCCATATTATTTTAGTACAAATTTGACGTGTTTGAAATTGTACCATAACTACAACAACATAGATATATAATGATATCAATATCATTACCACTCGAGAGCAAATGGTCCCGTGGACTCGAGCACGACGACTCTCTATGTCGTGTGCGCTGTGTAAGTTTTTTATATAACAACATTCATGTCATATTATTGGTCTATAATGACTTCAATGTTGTTGTGAAAATCAATAAAGTAGCATATTTTTACACTGAAACAACATCAATTTCGTTTTGTGTCCCCGGAACGATTTCAATATTCTTATGTAAATTAGTGCAATTTTCGTATTGAAACAACACCAATATCGTTTTGTGTCTCAGGAACAATTTCAATGTCGTTATATAAATTTATGCATTTTTCATATTTGAATGACATATGCGTCAACTATAACGATGTAAAAGTCGCTTGTCTGTAATGTGAAAAAAATACAACGAAAAAAAGACGTTAATTTTGTTCTAATTGCAAAAAAGTGAGAATAGCACAATGACAACAAAATCTAATAAATCATTTTGTGCTTTCAATAAGTACAAAATAATAAAATTACAAATCATGATAGTAACACAACTTTAAGTTTTACTACCAGCTATTTGACATTTGCAAGTGGAGCGAATATGATTAATTTTCTTACAATTGGAGCCCTAGACATTATGGAGACAAAAGTTGACATCTCCATTTGATATAACATTGTATCGACCTTCAACATCTCTCTAACTTCATACAAACTTACACGAGAATTGTTTTTCAAACAAGAATGATCGATGCTTTCGATTTACCATTCACTTCGTATTTTTATTTTCAAGCGCTCTTCAACTGACTGTTCATATTCAACTAAATAACAAATTGAATCTATAACATATCCATAATGGCCATAACTTCAATTTGCATAAAAATTATAAATTTTTATCAAATATCAAATTTCGTACGTTATTGATAACGAGATGTGTCTCTTTCTGGTTTATAGAAAATGATATGTAAGTCATTCTGAATGGAAAAAATGAAATGTATGTTTTATAGTAGAACAACAAATAGAATAGTCAAACATGTGTTTACCAACATATTCACTTCAAAAATAAGAGATAACGATAAAATGGGAAAGCAATCCATATCAAAGCTATAATTTGATGATAAAAAAATAAAAATATCCAAAGCCATTACTGACAAATGAACACCATAAACACGAATCACAACATGTGATTCAGAAAAATTGAAAAAGAAAGTAGCCAAAATATTGAAATTTAAAATTACCTTCTTTTCTTCTTCAAATATCATCAAAAATATTATAAACTTTGATTACTTACTTTAACCAAGTGAGTGTTTAAGATAATGATAATAGTATATTTTAGGTGTTTCACGAAGAAGATGATGATGATAAAAAGAAGAATTGCAGAGAAATATCGACCAAAGTTTGGAAGAAAGGAAGCCAAAATTGAATTAAGGCTAAATGGAAATTGGAAGGGGAATTAGGGCATTATATCTTTTTACATGCAAGGATATTTTAGTAATTTAAAAATTGTATTTTTCTTTTCTTTGTATCCTAAGGCTATGTAAAGAAAAAAGATAGTTTATAGTCTTTTTAAATAAAACTTTACTTTGACTTTGCCTCTTAAACGAATCCTCCTAGATTTTACACCAAATTAAAAAATAATAATAATAATAAATAAATAAATAAATTCATCTCCAACTATTATACCAAATAAATAGTGTTAAATCATTTTCTTCTCTCTCTCTCTTTTTTAATTCTCAATAATTTATTTATTTGAAAAACTATTTCTTCATTTATTTTACAAATACATAGATCACTAAATAAATAATTACATTAAATTAACAAAAATATTGAATCCATTAATAAATATAAAAAATTATTTTTTACATTGTAAAACTTTATTTCAATATTATTATTAATCATAATAGGATTTATAATAATAAAAATTTATTGTATTAAAAATAAATAATACAAATGACACAAATACACTCGATCAATTAATTTGACAAATAGAAGAAATGGGTAAATTTGACTTTGAACCATTTGATGCAAAATGGTTCAAAATGAATAGTGTTGCACAATTAGATTTTTTGCACCAAAATTTGGTGCATTTTGATAATTTAATGCATTCATTG